ATAACGAGCGTTCAAATAAAAACGTGGTCAAGTTGGTTCTGAAAATTTGGACGTAGGGCGTAGCGTATAGCAAATGAACTTAAACGTCATCTGTCAAAGCGCTATATCGCCGCTACCAATTTGAATATTTTCGTTTTAAAAAGCGTTTAAAATGAAAATATTCAAATTGATAGCGGCGATATAGCGCTTTGACAGATGACGTTTAAGTTCATTTGCTATACGCTACGCCCTACGTCCAAATTTTCAGAACCAACTTGACCACGTTTTTATTTGAACGCTCGTTATAATATGTAATATTGTAGATTTGAGCCAGCAGAAACTTCAAAAAAAAATAACAATAATTAATACGCGCTATCAAAAAAATGTGAGAAAAAAGATGAATGTCACATAACTCAGGAAGAAAGAATCAGAAAACAATTCGAGTAGCAATGTGAATTTTAATAGGTAACTTTTTATTATAAGTAACAAGGAAACCTACTTGAATAAAAATACAACGTAAAATAAAAGTGTCATGATGCTTCAACACCACAGTTTAAGTCGCTGTCTTGTCGTGTGGTAAATCCTCAAAATAATGTTGCGCTAGCTACTATAAATTTTTTCAGTTCTTGTAAGTTCTGGTATTTTTTCAGAGCAATCGCAATGGGTTGTTTGTATTTCAAACTAAGCATTACAATAAATTGACCTTCAGGAAGAATTCCAAAAATGTCTTGTTTCCGTTTTGGTGGTACTACTACTGAGTACTGACATAGACATAGGACCATCATATTATGTCTCTCGATACTGCATCATTCTTGACATTTTCTTTTAATTTCTCTGATAGGCCTATTTTTAAATGGACGTCTTTCAACAAAGTAATTTGATAAATTCCAATAAACATTCCAAGCTCGGAAAATTTTCTAATTCTCGCAATTAATAACTACGATTGGATTGGACTTGTTCCTTGCATTTTGGATCTCTGCATTCTATTCTGATGGCCTTGTNTTTAAAGCGATCAGTTTCAATAACAAAGCGGCGATATAGCGCTTTGACAGATGACGTTTAAGTTCATTTGCTATACGCTACGCCCTACGTCCAAATTTTCAGAACTAACTTGACCACATTTTTATTTGAACGCTCGTTATAATATGTAATATTGTAGATTTGAGCCAGCAGAAACTTCAAAAAAAAAAATAACAATAATTAATACGCGCTATCAAAAAAATGTGAGAAAAAAGATGAATGTCACATCACTCAGGAAGAAAGAATCAGAAAACAATTCGAGTAGCAGCAATGTGAATTTTAATAGGTAACTTTTTATTATAAGTAACAAGGAAACCTACTTGAATAAAAATACAACGTAAAATAAAAGAAGTGTCATGATGCTTCAACACCACAGTTTAAGTCGCTGTCTTGTCGTGTGGTAAATCCTCAAAATAATGTTGCGCTAGCTACTATAAATTTTTTCAGTTCTTGTAAGTTCTGGTATTTTTTCAGAGCAATCGCAATGGGTTGTTTGTATTTCAAACTAAGCATTACAAATTGATCTTCAGGAAGAATTCCAAAAATGTATTGTTTCCGTTTTGGTGGTACTACTACTGAGTACTGACATAGACATAGGACCATTATAGTAGATATGCTACCTTCGTATGGAGCCAAAATCCCATGTATTTTCTTATGGAGGTTCNTAATTTTTTTCATATAAATCGTATAATAATGTTTACAAAGCAAATTAGAATTAACCATGCAAACATTATATCTTTGATATTTGTCATTTATTTTTAAAACTTGTTTGTAGTCGCGCTTCAAAATTGCACTGAAGATGTAGAATTATTAACGTTCATGTTACAAGATGAATAGCTTAATTAAATCAGATCTTTGCATTATTTGCCAAAAAAATTTTAATTATGGTAATGTTGCGAATTTTCATTAAATTGTTAATGTTTCGTTCAGTGTTCATCGTTTTTTGGTCTAGAAATGAAGAGTACACGTCAAGATCGTGTATTAAATGCCTGTAATGCGGCGGCTACACGACAGCGACTTGCCTGCACGGTATGATTTGCGCAATAAACACGGAATACTGTGTTGTGGCCACACGATGCAGGTAAGACCGTGCAGGCTGCAGACACTGCAGGCAGCAATCAGTACGTTTCTCAGGAATATGTATCCAAGCGAAGAATTTTTGGTATTAGCCTCTTTCTATTTTACATTAGTAAAAAAAAATAATAAATAGACGTCATCGTTCAAACTGGTCAAAAAATGGCTTCTGAACAGAAATATACATTCACATATAAATTTAATGAAGGATTTGAGAGAAGATCCCGACGATTGGCGTAATTATATGAGAATGGATGAAATGGCGTATACTGAATTACTAGGATTGGTGATTCCTTCATAAATCGACAAAATACTGTAATGCGCGAATCTATGTACATATGTACAGTGTGTTTCACTTAAAGTCGGGACACCTCCGTATTTAGGAAAAAGGCCTACTTTTTGATATTATATTTTTTGACATGTGATCTTTTCTACGGCCTACAATCATTAAGAAAAGACCCTCAAAAATTAAAAAACATATTAGGCATTTTTTTAAGAAAGAAATGGATAGCATTTTCGATTTGATCACACCTCAAAACTCTAAATACAAAATTTCATTATTATAGCTTTTACAGGGTGTTCACAAAATAGGTGCAAACTTCGAAAAATTCCACGTATTGCAGAGTATCCTGTATTAAGAGTGGAAAATATTTTCAAGATATTTTTCATAATTTTATTAACCGAAAGTATATCCATGCAGTTTCATTGATTTCACTCATACAGGGTGCTCACAATAGGACAAGCAAATTATATATATTTTTTATTATACCAGAAATGAGTTTCACAACAAAATAATATTTAAATATTACTGTTTTCTGTTAGTCCACATAATTTGGTATGCACTGTTCAATTCGTCTCATCTTATTTCTAATAACTCTCCTCAACTGATGTGGTGTTATTTGTCGACATGTTTGTCTATTACATAAAAATCAAGTGGCGTCAAGTCTGCAGCTCTTGACGGCCACTCAGCTAACGGACTGTTGCGACCTATCCACTTTCTCGGGAAATACTCATTCAACCAATGACGTACCTACTATTACCGCATTATGAATAAGTGCTCCATATAATTGAAGGTAGAGGTTCTGTCTTACATGAAGAGGAAATACATGTACTGAATCCCAGAAATCATTGTTTAAAAAATTCATAAAAATCTCGCGTTTAGATTAACGCAAAAAAAGAAGGGCCTAATTATTTGATCACATAAAATCCTACAAAACACGTTAAATTTTTAATTAAGATTTATGTAATATAATTAGACAAGCATGTCGACAAATAACACTACATCAGTTGAGAAAAGTTATTAAAAATAAGAGGAGACGAATTGAAGAGTGCATGATGGACTAATAGAAAATAGTAATACATATTTAAATATTATTTCGTTGTGAAACTCATTTCTGGTACTTATAATAAAAAATATAGATAATTTGGCTGTCCTATTGTGAGCATCCTGTATGAGTGAAATCAATGAAACTGCATGGATATACCTTCGGTTAATAAAATTATGAAAAAATACCTTGAAAATATTTTTCACTGTTAATACAGGACACTTTGCAATAAGTGAAATGTTTCGAAGTTTGCACCTATTTTGTGAACACCCTGTAAAAGCTATAATAATGAAACTTTGTATTTAGGGTTTTGAGGTGTGATCAAATCGAAAATGCTATCCATTTTTTCTTAAAAAAATGCCTAATATGTTTTTTAATTTTTGAGGGTCTTTTCTTAATGATAGTAGGCCGTAGAAAAGAATTTTGGAAATCGGCCAACGCCATCGTAAATACGGAGGTGTCCCAACTTTAAGTGAAACACACTGTATATATCTCCTCATGAAAGATTGAGTTGGTATCTCAGATATTTGGCTACAGGGAGATCATATAGATATTTAAGGTTTACAGCCGCAATTTCTCTTAACTGAACACCGTGCGCCGTCCACACGCTCAAATTTTACCGTGCAAACTGAATTTGCACAAACAAAATCTTCAGCAAGTCGAAGTTTACGCAAGCCGCGCTTTTCAGTTTGTGCGAGATAACGATTTGCCGGCCGCACGTACGGGCTTCCCGATACAAACTGGTTTGTGCAGGCAAGCGCGCGGTAAAGCTGTATGTGTGGCCGGCCCATAAGAAGGCTCTCTTACGTATGTACACGGCGGCGCACCCATCTGAACGCCCAATCGCTATTTGTTTGTAGCTTCCAATAACAGTGGAAAAAACAAATTTTCACACTGCAATTACTCACAATTTGTAGTATTTAACGTGAACTTTCAAACGCCGTCAGCAGAATTACAAAATACCTATTCAATCAAAAGTTATTAACAATTGAACATTGCAAAAATTGCATTTTTCGAGTTTTTAACGGCGTTTACTCGAAAACAATGCGTTTAACAAAAAAATTGCAAGAGACATTTCCTTCTTAAAATGAGTCAAAGAACATACTTACTAAGTTCTCAATATTTTGCATGTTTTTTGTTAATAAAAAACTTATCGACATCCAGGCAAACTTCTACCCAAAAGATTCGTGTTCTGCAGCTCAAAATACACAAAAAAACTTGGGTAACTCCGTCTAAATAATGAAGGAGGCAATTGGAACCCTCCTGGATACAGGACTAGTATGTCACTTTTGAACTTGAGCCTAAGATGAGCCTTATTCTAAATTTTCATGCAAATCCATGCAGTTTCAAAGAATTCGGAGGTTACAGCTGATTTTCAGCTTCAATGACTGTACTATTAAGCTTTTAAGTTTAAGTCATCAATGCAAAGCTGTTATTTGGAGTTCGATTATTTTTTTTGTTTTCATTACTGATTATGTCCTTTCGCCTTGTCGCATTTTATCGGTCACTTTTTACATCAACTACTACTAAATACTCGGACATTTCTCACCTTCTCATAACACCGCGAACTTCCGTCGCTGCCTGGATGGACCTAAGCTCAACATTTCCTAGCATTCGTTGCACGTTGTCGAAGGCTTGCCGTATGGTGATCATAGCAGACCTGGTCTCCATGTTCAGCCTGTGGTTGGTCGTTTTGGCCGCTTCGACGGCGTCCTCCATGTAGACCAGCTGGTGGCCGGAATGGTCCTCCATGAGACAGTCCGCGCAGCTGGGCATGTGGCATGTTTGACAAAAATATCGGTGGGGCTCGCGGTGGCTATCACACAAATTGCTTGTAACGTTGCACGGACTCGTGCTGATCTGCAGAAGAAGAAACTGAATGGTAAATATTATGCGTGGCCCCCTCAAGGCTATGTAGAAAGGGATAGATTTTCTTTAGGTTTATAGGTAGGTATACGAAAATTTGGGAAAATAAAAATAGAATATACTTAAAGATTTTGTCAAAGTTTTTTGGAACCATTTTTGAACTACAGTATATACAGGGTGACTCTTAAATGTGTACGTATATTTAAACTATGGCTATAATCCATGAAATTCATTTTTCAACATTACAAATATTTACCGAGATATATAGTCCAAGCATTCTGTCACGGATTAATGTTAAATTTGCAGAAATTATTACCTGGACAAAAAAAATATGACCGTATAGAAAATTAAATTTTAAATTGAGTTTCTTATTCTTTAAACTCGATCCAATATGGCGAACATGGTTAAAAAAAATCGCAAAGTTGAAAAAANCAATCGCTATTTGTTTGTAGCTTCCAATAACAGTGGAAAAAACAAATTATCACACTGCTATTACTCATAATTTGTAGTATTTAACGTGAACTTTCAAACGCCGTCAGCAGAATTACAAAATACCTATTCAATCAAAAGTTATTAACAATTGAACATCGCAATAATTGCATTTATCGAGTTTTTAATGGCGTTTATCTCGAAAACAATGCGTTTAACAAAAAAATTGTAAGAGACATTTTCTTCTTAAAATGAGTCAAAGAACATACTTTTTATTTTGCCAAAAACTAAGTTCTCAGTATTTTGCATGTTTTTTGTTAATAAAAAACTTATCGACATCCGGGCAAACTTCTACCCAAAAGATTCGTGTTCTGCAGCTCAAAATACACAAAAATCACTTGGGTAACTCCGTCTAAATAATGAAGTAGGCAATTGGAACCCCCCTGGATACAGGACTATTATGTCACTTTTGAAGTTGAGCCTAAGATGAGCCTTAAGGCCAATTCCCACATAGCAGCGCCGCAGCAGCGCGGCGCGTCGCTGCAAATGCTGCTCCAAAAAATATCCATATTTTTAAATGGAACAGTTCCCACATAAGCAGCACAGCGCGGCAGCAGCGCAGCGCGTCAAAATTCAACGCCTCTGAGAGCGTTCCTTGCTGCTCTGACCTTCGTCGCGCTGCCAAGTGGACATTAGGAAGCAGCAAACACTGCTGTGTCTTCGGCAAATCTTGATACATATCGCTCACTATTTGGCTGTGGGAGAGGTACCAGACGTTTCGCGGTGACTGTTGGACTTTGTAATCACTAATTATATGTAGTTAGTAAATGCAGGTAGTTTGATTTTGTTAGAGTAATATAAAATTACTGACAAAACTCTACATTTCTAAGTAGGATTAAGGCAATATTAATAAATTATATATCTAGGATATCACTAGACGAGGAACTCGACATTTTGAAAATAAAATACGTTCGTTCTATTAGATAGTCGGAACACTACTCTTCTAAAATATTAACCGCTGCGCTGGTGCTGCACTGCTAAGTGGGAATG